TGTGTGGTTTTGCCTGCCTAAGGCACCTGATTGGCAGAGGAGAGATTGGCGGGGCTGGCAGGCAGAGAGAATAAGTAGGAGGAGGAACCTAGGCTCCAGAGGGAGGAGAGGATGATGGAGAAAGAGAGGGAGACCCCCAGGGCCAGCCAGCCAGGCAGCTGCCAGCCAGCCAAACACGGAGGAAGCAGAAAAATAGGACAAACAGAATGAAAGAAAGGTTAAAAAAAAGCCCTGAGGCAAAATGTAGATAAAGAGAAACAGGGTAAATTAAGTTACAAGAGTTAGTGGGACAAACATATGATAAGGCTAAGTATTCATAATTAATAATAAGTTTCCATGTCATGATTTGGGGACTGGTGGTCCAAGAAAGCCTGCTACACAAAAGTGTCCAATTTAAGAGAGTCATCTGTGAAAGGACTGTGCGCGCGCGCGCGCGCGTGCACAAAAATGCTCCAGGAGCAGTTATACCACATCTTGGCTTTGGATTGCAAAGCCTCCTTATGTTTTAAATGGTATTTTTTAAAAAGACTTATTTATTTTATGTATATGAGTGCTCTATCTGCATATACAACTTTATGCCAGAATAGGGCATCAGATTCCACTATAGATGGTTATGAGCCACCATGTGGTTGCTGAGAATTGAACTTAGAACCTCTGGACACGCGGCCAGTGCTCTTAACCACTGAGCCATCTGTCCAGCTCCCAATAAATGGTATTTTTTTTTTTTTTTTTTTTGGTTTTTTTCGAGACAGGGTTTCTCTGTGTAGCTTTGCGCCTTTCCTGGAACTCGCTTTGGAGACCAGGCTGTCCTCGAACTCACAGAGATCCGCCTGGCTCTGCCTCCCGAGTGCTGGGATTAAAGGCGTGCGCCACCACCGCCCGGCATAAATGGTATTTTTAAAAGCTATTTTGGGGCTGGAGAACTGGTTCAGTGGTTAAAAATGATGGTTGTTCCTTCAGAAGATCTGGGTTCAATTCCCAGCACCCACATAACGGCTCACAATTGTCAGTAACTCCAATCCCAGGGGAGCCAATGTCCTCTTCTGGTCTCCACAGACACCAGGCATGCATGTGGTACACAGACATGGATATAGGCAAAACACCCATATGCATAATATAAAAATAAAAACTCTACTATATACATATATGAATATGCTTTGGGATGTCTTTCTGTGATGCTGTGAACATGTGTTGCTCCCATTGGCTAATACATAAAGCTGTTTTGACATATGGCAAGGCAGCTTAAAGGCAGGCAGGAAATCCAAGCAGAGATAGAGAGAGAAGGGAGGAGTGAGGGAGATTCCTAGCCACTGCCCAAGGAGCAGAAGTTGCCAGCAGACCAGTAACGCCATGGCCATGTGGCAAAACATAGATGAATAGAAATGGGTTAATTTAAGATGAAAGAGCTAGCTAGCAAGAAGCCTGCCATAGGTCATACAGTTTGTAAATAATGTTAAGCCTCTGAGTGATTGTTTTATAAGTGGCTGCAGGACCTCGGGACTGGGTGGGACCGGAAAAACATACCATTACACAAAAAATGTCAAAGTCCAATAATATATAAACTCTGAACCACTTCTGGGACATATATCTGGATAAGGCATACACAGTCCATTTGCGCTTATCGGAGAAGGATGGTATACCAAGCAGCAAACCTCAAAAGGTGTACAAACCCTCTAAAATATTATATTCTCCTATAAAAAGGCATTAAAGGCCAGAATAAAGGGCTGGAAGGACAGTCCAGTCTCAAATGTTCTTGCCCTGCAAGCACAGAACCTGAGTTCGATTCCCAGAACCCACGTTAAAATACCCCAGGTGGCTAGGTGGTGATGGCAGCTGTGGTGGTGGCAGCGGCGGCGGTAGCAGCGGCAGCGCACAACTTTAATCCCAGCACTCGGGAGGCAGAGGCAGGTGGATCTCTGAGTTCGAGGCCTACAGAGTTCTACTGAGTTCTGGTCTATAGAGTGAGTTCCAGGACAGCCAGGGCTACACAGAAAAACTTTGTCTTAAAAAACAATAAACAGCCGGGCAGTGGTGGCGCACGCCTTTAATCCCAGCACTCGGGAGGCAGAGCCAGGTGGATCTTTGTGAGTTCGAGGCCAGCCTGGGCTACCAAGTGAGTTCCAGGAAAGGCGCAAAGCTACACAGAGAAACCCTGTCTCAAAAAACAAAAAAAAAAAAAAAAAACAATAAACAACAACAACAACAAAAATTAAAGAAGTCAAGGAGGAGGCAAAAGAGGCAGAAGTTCAAGGTCATCCTTGGCTGCAAATTGAGTTCTAGCTGACCTTGAGTTCCAGGAGAACTTGGTCTATAGGACTCGGTCTCCCCTGGGGATGGAGGGCCTAGGAGGGGCTAAGGAGATGCTTGGCAGTTGAGAGTGCATACTGCTCTTGCAGAGGACTGGTGGTAGATTCCCAGCACCCACATGGCGGCTCACCAACTTCTGCAAGTCTAATTCTAGGCCTCTGATGCCCTCTTCTGACTCTTCTGCACATGGGCACCGGACATGCACATGGTGCACAGACATACGTGCAGGCAAAATACTCATATACATAAAATAGAGCAAATACATCTAAAAGTAAACCTTCAAAGAAATTAGCAAAGAGACTCCTGAAGAAGGAATCCATCTTGCCTAATAGCAGGACTTCTGATTAATCCATAACAATTACATCAACGAGCAATTGACAGAAGCTTGGAGCAGGACCAGGGCCAGAAATACCCATAAAACACTGGAACTGCACAGTGGTGATAGGGAGGCCGGCCGAGGGAAGCACAGGCCACTCAGCTGTGGCACAGGAAACCGGTGCTTAAAGGTTTGGAGAGAAATGAAGTGGGGAGAAGAATGCTTCCGAACAGCACGGGTGACTTCTCGAGGTGACAGCCAGAGGATGCAGGCAGGAGCCCCCACAGGATGAATTTGGCCAAGTCTACAGGCCAGGGAGGAAATGGCAGCGTAGCAATCGGAGCAGAAGCGGGAGGAGGCGGGGGTTGGGAGGCCGGAGGTCAAGAGAGGGCAGCACGCTCTAAGGTGGGGTTTTTCCACAAGGACACAGGGATGAGAGGAGGAAGGAGCCTAAGGCTTTTGACAGCAGTGAGGGAGAATAGGATCTGGGAAGCAGCAGGGTTCCCAGGAGCAGGGACACGCCAAGTGAACCAGCACGGACAAACAGGTGCACACAAGTGCATGGAAGGTCAAGAGGGGAGGCGGAGTGGGACCTGAGGTGACCTGTGTAACGAGGCCTCTCTCTCCTTTTCTCTCCCTTCACTCCTCTCTCTCTTTTCTTCTCCCTCTTTTTATTTTTTTAATATTTTATTGCTTGTATTTTTCAAGACAGGGTTTCTCTTGTTAGCTGTCATGGAACTAGCTCTGTAGACAAGGCTATCCTCTAACTCACAGAGATCCCCCTGCCTCTGCCTCCTGAGTTCGAGCACCAGGATTAAAGGCCTGCACCACCACTGCCCAGTGCTCTCTTCCTCTCTTTTCTGACTGGGCCTCATGCAGCCCAGGCTGGCCTCAGCCTTTCTCTACAGCCGAAGCTGGTTTTGAACTCCTGATCCTCCTGCCTCCTGCCTCTACCTCCCAAGCACTAGAATGGCAAGCATGAGTGGCCACAGGGGACACAGTCCCTGAAATTCAAGGTCTCTAGAGACAGTCAAAGAGGAAGGAGGTGGAGGAGAGAGTTCCTAGTGGGCTGGTGGGGACCACAGGAACGTGCTTATTAGAGGTTTGCGGCTGTGAATTTACAAGGAAAACAGCCTCCCTGTGTTCTCTTCTCCAGCCGCATTCAGTGGTTGAGTCAGGAGAAAGCTTGGTTCAGCTGGTTAGGATTGTGGTTATGCTGGTGACAGGAGCAGAGGGCAGGCCAGGCTGGGGACTAGATGTTTGCAAGGTCAAGACGAAAAACACCAAGGGCTGGCAGGATGGCTCAGTGGGTAAATGCAGTTACCACCACGTCTGCCCATCTGACCAGATCTCGGGGACCCCGGTGACGGGAGGTGAGAACCAGCCCTGGAAACTGACCTCCATATGCACACACATCCTCCTTAAAATAAATACATGTAATATTTTTAAATACATTAAAATGAGCTGGATGATGGTGGCATGGTCCTTTAGTCCCAGCACTCAGGAGGCAGAGACAAGTGAATCTCTGAATTTAAGGCCAGCCTGGTCTACAGAGTGAGTTCCAGGACAGCCAGGGCCACACAGGGAAACCCTGCCTCAGAAAACAAACAAACAAACAAATAAACAAGCAAAACAAAGGGGACTGGACTGTATCTTAGTTGGTAGAGGGCTTGTCTAGCATTCACAAAGCCCTGGGTTCCAGCCCTAGTACCACATAAGCCAGGTGGGCACCTATGGAGGCAGAAGGATCAGAAGTTCAAGGTCATCCTTGGCTACATAGCAAGGTCAAGGTTAGCTTGGGTTACATGAAATTCTGACTCAAAAAAATCTAAACAAATCAAAAATGAGAACAAGAAAGAGACAGACAGACAGTGTGTGCAAAATTAGAGATAGAGTAATTCAAATGGGAGTCAGTAAGATCAGTCAAATTCAAGAGACTGAGGTCTGGGCACAGGCAGATGTGTTCCCAGATCGAGGTGGGTAGTGAATGGCAAGGCCCAGAATGCTCTGTGGTGGGGCAGGGTGGAACTGGTATAGAAGAAAAGGCTGATGTGGGGGCGGGGTGGGGGGGAAACGGGACAATGCTACAGTAGTTATGACAGTCACTTTTATAAGAGGGAAGGGTTTTGAGAATGAGGAGGAGTGACCAGCAGATGTTTGGATGACAACAAGGTTTTCTTACCCAGGCCCCAGGCAAGGTCCAACGTGACCCTTTAGCACCTTAAGGACATTTAAGGATGGACTCCTCAAAGCTAATCGGAGGAACACCCGAGCATGACTGTCTGTCTCCCAAGAGACAGAACAGGCTCAGCCAGGGGGCCCTGCCCACTCCTGCCCACCCCTGCCTGGCTCCTGCTGGCCTCCAGACTCGGGTCACCTGGGTAGTTCCGGCAGCCTCCAGCCGTGCTCCCCCGGCGCCAGCTGCCCTCATAGAGCGTGGTATTCCAGTTCCGGAGGGTCCTGCTCTTCAGGGCATCAGGCGTGAGGTTGCAGATCTCTAGTCTGTCAAACTCATGTAAGAAGTCTCGGAATGACATCCTGAGGGTCCAAGGGCAGAGGTGAACCACAGTTCCCCATCATGAACTGGGCTTTAGGGGAGCAAGTAGAGAAAAAGGTTGCTTACCAGAACTCCCCATCCTCCATCTTGATCCTCAGTTGCTCTCGTTCATAGGGGTCCACTCTGTTCCACTCTGAGGAGCTGTGGGAGGCAGGCATGGCCAGGGCTGGACACCACTGATATATCTAACTTCTGCCCCTGGCTCCTGTTCAACCTGGCATGTTTTCCAGAGCCCAGATCAGGAGGCTTTCTCTGGGACCAGCTCTCTTGAGGTCCTTATAGGTCCCTACTCAAGGGTCCCTCTTCTTTCTGAGGCAGGTCTCACTGCGTAGCCACCATACTCCTCCCCCCTTAAAGACCATGTAGCCTAGGTTGAGCTGGAACTCACTCTGCGGCCCAGGTTGGCCTCAAATTTGTCGTGATCTTCCTGCCTCAGCTTCCTGAACACTAGAATTATAAGCATAAACCACCACATCCAGCCAGGGGGGTGCCTTATCAAGGTCAAACAGATACCCTGGGTGTATCCACAGGCTGCCCCAGTTCCCACAGCCTGGGTAGGCTCTGCCAGAGCAAAATCCTAAAGGAGTACACAAGATGGGATTCCTCTACTCAACCCTGAATCCGCCTCCAGCCAGCTGGGGTCCAGGCAGAAATGTCAGGGATTTCTCCAGACTTCCCCAAACCTCCCCAACCAGTGCCCACTGTCCTGCCCCTTACCTATCACTCCAGGGTCCTTTCCATTCCACTTCGCCCCAGGGGTTCCGCATTCGGATTAGGCTCACCTGCTGGCCCTGGTAATTCACCTGTTCCCCAGAGCGCACATCAGTGCTATGCCATTTGATACTCCTTCCTGGCCCACCTTCTTTACCACCTCACCCTGCTTAGTACCCAGCAGCACACCAGAGCCACATAGTTAATATACCCTAAAGTCAGACCTCTAGGGATTTATAGCCCAGAAAGGCGGCCTTACACATGAACTAGAGTCATCTGGGATAAACATCAATGCAAACCACAGGATGGCAATCCCAGGAGGCCAAGAAAGGAGAAATCGCCTCCCGCAACCCAGGTCATATGCAGGGAAGGCATGAGGGCGGGAACCACCCTGCAGGACAGGCCCCGCCCAGGAAATACCTGCTTGGCATCCGTCACGGAGTATGCATGGCCCCTCACCAGGTTCTTAAAGGTAATAGCTTCCAAATCCCGGATATCGGTTATCTACAGAAGGAAACATGCACTGTGGTCAGAAGATGAGGACCCCTGCTAGGGGCATTCACGGGGCTCCTAAGTCCTCCTCACACATACAGTCCACACAAAAGCTGCTGGGCGCGACTGTCAGGCTCCTATCCCATCCATTCCATTGTTGCTGTTCCTCCTGGGGAACAGGGCCAATCCCAGACACCTCACTAACGCTGTCACTGGCTAGGGCTGGCAAGATTGTAGATGTGCATATGCATACACTTATAATCAAGCACACCCCCAAGAAGGACTCAGCGCAGGGACAAGCAAGGGGGAAGAAAAGGACAGGTCCAGATGTGGCTGAACTTGCAAAGTCATAATAGCCCTTTAAAAAAGTTCATTTTATAATTAAATAAGTCTCGTGTGTGTGTGTGTGTCTAGGTAATGGTACGTCATGTAAGTGAAGACACCCTCAGCAGCCTGAGGCATCGGAGCCCCTGGGATGACAAGGGAGTTGTGAGTTATCTGATGTGGGTACTGGGAACCGAACTTGGGTCTTCTCCAAGAGCAGTACATTCTCTTAACCACGAAGCTATCTCTCCAGCCCCACACCCAACCTTTTTGACCTTGTAGCGTGGCTTTGTCGTTCACAAAGTTCACACTTGGCAATAGCTCGGTCAACTCACCACAGATGTTCAAATCTCAATGTTTTCAGTAAGTTTCCGAGATTTTGTGTTGGGCCACAGAGCAGCATTTGGCCAAGTGTAGCCTGGAAGACTGCCTGATGCTGATGTAGAGTCATCAGTCAGGACTAGGGAGGTCTGAAAAAGGCTGGGGGAATGTGGGGCAGACAAGGATAAGCAAGGAGAAGGGAGAGGGAGGAGCTAGGAATGGGTGGAATCTGAGAGTAGGCAAGAGAAAGCCGAGGCACTGGACTGTGATGGTCTCTGAACATGGGAAAGTGTGAGAAGAGAAAGGGGCCTTGCTAATCTTCTCTGTATTGTTCCAGTGTGCTGCCTGGAGGGATAGCTCAAGGGTTAAGAGCATTGGCTGCTCTTCCAGAGGCCCCGGGTTTAATTCCTAGCAACCACCAGGAGGCTCACAACTGTCTGTAACTCTAATTCCAGGGAATCTAACTCCTCACACAGACATACATACAGGCAAAACACCAATGCAAATAAAATGCAAATAAACAACTCATTAAAAAAAAAAAAAACCCTGAGAGGGGAAGGGAGCAGGAGGAAGCAGGGAAGTAAGTCTGGGCACAGCTGAGGCCAGGAAGATAGGAAGATGATGGGTGGGGTGGGTTTGCATCTACATCCTACAAAGAGGTGAGGGGGATGTGTCTCAGGCTGAGCCTGGGCTGAGGATGAGGTTAGGGTTGGGCACAGGAGCTTGCACATCACTCACATTAATGGAGCAGCCCAGCAAGGAGCCTCGCTCCAGGGCCTTCTGAATGATCTGGTAGAGGTCTCTGGGTGCCTTGGGCAGATCGAACCACTCGGTGACCCCACCAGTAAAGTCCTCAAAGGCCTCTGAGGTGCAGCCTCCCGAAAGGGCCTCGTAGCTGCCGTTCACCCTGTGAGTAGTTCCAGGTCAGTGCAGTAGGACCAGGAGAGAGGGCCAGCCCTCCCCCCCCCCCCCAGACTGAAGATGCGCCCTGGGGTTCCTACTCACTTGGCATAGGCCTTCTCAAGCAGGGCACTCCAGAACTCGTTGCACTGGGCAGAATGCACGAACACCAACTTCCCGTCCTTGGTGGGCAGCAAGTCATCCACGACCACATCTACCCACTCCCCAAACTGCCACAGCTGTGGGGGAGGGGCAAAGTGAGCACCTGCTCTGGGGTCCCCCAGGCCTCAGCTCCAGCTTCAGTGGGGCTGACTAAACACGAGTCTAGATCCATATGCCTGGTACATGTGCGACACACCCACATTTACAGAAGCATGCCTTTTGTCTACTAGAATATACAATCAGCCAGCCCTCCTCAGCCCCAGGCACCGCAACTAGAGACACCTTTAATCTCAGCACTCAGGAGGTGATCTCTGTGAGTTCAAGGATAACCTGATCTACACAGTAAGTTCCAGGACAGCCAGGGCTACATAGTAAGACTGTATCTCAAAAACAAAACAATTTCACAAAACCACATTTGGACCATGGAGATAGTTCTGGAAATAAAGGTACTTGCTACTAAGTCTGCGAATTTGAGTTCAATTCCAGGATTCACATGGTGGAATGAGAGAACTGACTTCTGCACATCCAACCTTTACACACCAGACACACACCCACACTGTTAATCCTCATCAACACACACACACAGCCACACGCACATGTGCATACACACACACAGACACATGCAAATATAATAAATAAATGTAGTTAAAATTTTAAATGGCCGGGTGGTGGGGTGCATGCCTTTATTCCCAGCACTCGGGAGGCAGAGACAGCAGATCTCTGTGAGTTCGAGGCCAGCCTGGTGTACAGAGTGAGATTCAGGACAGGCTCCAAAGCTACACAGAGAAACCCTATCCCAAACCCCCTCCCCCTCAAAAAATTTAAATGAACAAGTACAGACTTGTTTCTTGATATTATTCCCTAGAAAAATAGTCTAACTATTGATGGGATGTTTACATTGCCTTAAGTCTGAGCCTCAGTTTTCCTACCCAGGAAGAGGAACAACAACCTTAGTTTCCCAACAGGAAACTAAGACAATGCGGGTGACACCTATAACTCAAGACTAAAGTGGAACAAAGCTCCCCTTCAGATACGGAGAGCGCGAGGGCAAGAAGGCCTCCAGTCCGCGTTCTTCCTCAAGGCAAGCCCTAGGTCCTGCCCCCTCCTACTTCCCTCCCTATTCTAAGCCTGAGTATGGGCATAAGAGAGAGGTATCGACTGAAAATGTTGTGCCCAGACCCTCCACCGCAAATGCGTGGGGCTGCTTCCCCAAATCACTGAATTTGCACAGGAGATGCCAAAGGACCAGCTACCCGGGTAGAAGGGGTGAGGTACAGGCCCAGGCTGCCTAGGAACACAAGCTTCCAAGAGTGCCAATAATTGTCACAGGGAGAAGCCCACTATAGTGAAGAAGCAGGCCCTTGAAGGATTTGGGACGTGTACTGAGTGGGCCAATCAGAAGCTGGAAAGGAGTAGATTGGAGAATTGAGGGAAGGAGGCGGGGAAAAGGATGGCGAAGCCCTGCAGATTGAGCCGGGTAGGTGTGGGGATCTCAGCATAGAGTATTACCGCCATTTCTCCTTGGCCAGGGCAGAGTGAGGTAGGGGCTCTGACTAAGCAGAAGGAAGGAACACAGAGACTCCAGGCATGGCGGGAGTCATGGCCGGAAGGCCTCAAGGAAGACTTTTGGGGTGTGCCTTTCTCAACACCAGCTCCTGGAGAATTCGTTAATGTAATTTGAAAAGTGGATCATGTTGGAAACATCAGGAGAAGGTGGTTTAAATCCTGAGTCTGTCTTTTCTCCTAGACTCTGTCAGAGCTTGCCAAAGCCAAGAAGTTGGGAAAGGGAGTACTGACGCATGACTTTTCCCCAGCAGAATACTCCATCTTCAGCTAGGGAAACTGAGGCTTGGGTGAAGAAAGATTGCTTTGTGAGCCAAAGCACAGTCTTTCTCCTTCCACACACTTTCTCCTTACCTAGGAGAACTGCCAACTGAAATACCTGCCCGACCGTTCACACATGACCGACCAGAGATGGCACTGAGAGGTCAAATACCTTGGGGGGGGCTGCCCCCACAGGGTGTGGCCCTGGCCATCCCAGCTTCACAGTGCTGTGGGCCGTCCTTTCAGATCTCCCTAATGCCAGCTATACCTCCACCCCAGGGGGGTGCAGGGCCCTTCACCTGGAAATGAAAGATGCCAGCATATCCATCCTGGAAGCTCTGGCCATAGGGAACCACTCGGTGCAGAATGGTCTCATTGAGGGTGAGGGAGGCAATGGCAGCCAGGAGCCAACAGTCCCCTGGGATAAGAAAGACCCTGATTAGGCTTGCCCTGTGGATCTGCTCAGGAGAGGGAGGTGCTGTGTGCGTGGGATGCTGGGGACAACCTGGGATTCCCTGGGTGAGGTACCCTTCATTTCCCTCCGCTTACGGAAAAGACCCAGGAATCTGGGCAAACCAGCCCCTGTGCTGATAGCCAAAACCTGTCTGGGCCTGCAGGAGGGAGGAGCCGGGGCAGTGCCCAATGGAACGGGAATGGGGAAAACACCCAGAACCCCACCTCTGGGGGCCTACCCAGTGCTCCCTGGCAGATATCCGTTCGGGTGGCTCCATCCACGATGAATTGGGGGTTTGATAGCAGCTCCTACAAGATCCACAATCCTGTTGCTGGGCCAGTCCCTCCTAGAAACTGGCACCCAGCCACCCAGCCACCACTAATAACGGGGCCCGGATCCCACTCCTCACCCATCATCACAGCCAAGTTCCACCCAGCATGGCCTTCTTACCGTAGGACGCTTCCATTTGATGCCATAGGTTTTAGAGGAATTGGGACCGAGTTCTTTGAAGCCCAGGCTGTGAGCCACCGGAGGAAAGGCCTCATCTTGGAAGAGGACCCCACTCTGCAGGCATCTTGCCCGCAGCTTTTCATAATCCTGGCCTAGGTACTTGATGGCGTTTTCATGGCGGCCCAGGCCCAGGTCCTTGGCCCGTTGCTTTTGCACTTGGGCTGATACCCCGGTGCAGTACACAGGTGTGATGAACTCCTCTGCCATCCTGGGGGACACATGGACCTGCTAGAACCCAGGCCTTCCCAGGAACAGAACACAACTTCTGCCTGATAGCACTTTCCTGGACCTGTCCATTCCTCCCCAAAAAACAAACATGGTTCCTCTGCTTCACTGCCCCCTTTACAGAGCCTGGGACTCTCAGCCACCTTGTTAGGCTCCCTAAATCCAGAAAAGGGTGCCCCGTTTCTAGACACACTGGCCACCACCTCTCCCTTTCTCTATTCCCATTATCCAGGGTTGACAGTTCTGTGTCAGCCATCCAGGCAGGTGGTGTAGGGCGGAGGCCAGCCCACAGCAGTACTTCCAGGTAAGATCTCAGACCCTGTTTGCCTGCCTGTAAGCCCCCTCCACACAGTCGCCAAGCATCTAGCTCACTTGCCCCTTTCCGCGGTTTAGGGACTGAAAACTCCAGGCACGGACGCCCCTCCACAGGCTCCTGAGACAGGCTGAACATCAGAGCACTGGACACTGGCCCAGCTCCTAGCGACAGGGTGAGCGCCTGCGCTGAGCTGCTTCCTGACCCCTACCCCTCACACAGGCACGGAGAGGACCTGGAACAGGGGCCGATCAGCGACAGCACCCTAGTCTCAGAAGCAGTGGCCTGGGCCAGACAATCGCCGTCTGGGCACCCAACTCCTTACCTGGGGGAGGGGAGTTTGGGAGATGGCTGCGGTCCCTGCTGCTGGCTTCCTTGGTGGCAGCTCAGGGCAGGGCCCAACCAGGAAGAGCGCTCCTCCCCGCCCTCCTCCACCGCCCCTCGGCCCTGGTTCCTCCCTCTTTGGTCCTCCACCTACTCCTGGGGCTTTTACCCCGCTCCCTCTAGGCTCTCTCTTATCTCTCCCGCAACGTTTTTTACTATCTCTTACTCAGGGTGTCTCCCGGTCCCTCCCTTCCTCCGAAGGCTCTGAGCCAACTCTGCGAGAGGACAAATTGGTAAAAGGCAGAGTTGTCCCCCGGGAGGAGCCGGGCGCCTGTCCGGGTGAGGAGGGTTGGGTTGGGACAGAAGGGCACAGCAAGCCAGAGAGAGGGCAGGGCAAGGGGTATTTTTAAACTAGGGCCGCAGCTCGAGTTGCAGCGCTGCCGGCCCCACCCCACGTCGCCCTCCGGGAAGGTACTGGGGACGATCCGGGCTGTGGCACAGTCCCCGCAGCCCCGATCTGCCTCCTGCGCCCCCGCGCGCCTCTTGGGTCGCAGCTGTCTGTCCTCAGCCCAGCCGGCGCTCCGCGCGAGGCAGAGATTACCTCCGGGCGCCGCAGCTGTTCTCTGGAGCCGCCCGCGCTGGGTGCGAGCGGACCTCTACAGGACGCAAGGCAAGCGGCAGCCCCACCCCAGGCCTGTCCCTAGGCCAGCTCCCCACCCCCGCACCTTAAGAGGCAGGCCTGCAGAGCTAACACCCCGCCCTAGCGGTCTTTGCGCATTCCCTGCATGGCCTTAGGTAAATCCGTGCCTTGATTTCCCCAACCGTGTAGCGGAAGAAGAGGGACAATGGCCGCAGCCAGTCTTTGTGTAGCGTTCTGAGGTTTCTTGAAGCCAGAAGCTGAGAGACGTGGGCACTCTGTCCTCTCCCAAGCTCTTGATCTACCCACCTGGGAGCATGGCCTTTGTGTGAGTCGCCTGACCCGGGAGGGGGCAGCAGAGGCCCTGAGCACCAGGGCAGGCCCACCTGGTACCCGCAGATTCCACCTGGCACCATGCAAGAGGTTGGAGAGCCAAGGACGTGGAGGGACAGGGGCGGTCCCCAGGCTCAGGGCTCTTCCTAGGTATGGAGGTCACAGCATGGCCGGATGCAGGCTACATAAGATGTAAGGACAAACAGGCGCCATGACACTCCAAAAGTTAAGAGCTAACTCACCTGACTTTCCCTAAATGGGCACTCAGTACCTGGGTATTGTGAAGACTTGGGGCCTCTGCCTTCACAGTTAATGCGGAGGAAGAGTTGGTCCATAACACTTTCCTGACTGTAGCCTGACCTAACACAGGTGTCATCAGAGGCTCTGATCAGACATGGAGACAATGGCAGGGGTGGGGAGATGCTCACACTCACAGGGTGTGTAAAAATAGCCTAGGCAGGTAGAGGAACTGAGGTGTACCAGGTGTTGCTTAAGCAGGGGAAAAAGAGGGGAGAGTGGCAGGACTGGGCAGATCCAGGGGCTTAGATTTTTGTTGTTTTATTTATTGAAAATGCATTTTATTTATGTATGTGTGTGTGTGTGTGCACATGCATGCAAGTAGCCATAAGAGGACAAAAGAGGGGGCAGGGCGGTGGTGGCGCACGCCTTTAATCCCAGCACTCGGGAGGCAGAGCCAGGCGGATCTCTGTGAGTTCGAGGCCAGCCTGGGCTACCAAGTGAGTTCCAGGAAAGGCGCAAAGCTACACAGAGAAACCCTGTCTCGAAAAACCAAAAAAAAAAAAAAAAAAAAAAAAGAGGACAAAAGAGGGATTCAGACTCTTTGGAGCTGGAGTTACAGGCACTCAAGAGCTGCCTGACATGGATGCTGGGAAATGAACCTAGCACGTCTAGAAGAGCAGCAATTGCTCTTAACTGATGAACCATCTCTACACACACACACACACACACACACACACACACACACACACACACACACACCTGCACAAGGTCTCATGTAGCCTAGGCTGGCTTTGCATTCTATATGTAGCTGAGACTGGCCTTGAACTCCTAACCATCCTGCCTCCACCTCTCAATGGCTGTGATGACAGGATTTACCACCAAACTCTGCTAATTTAGATTTCATTCTACTGGAGGTGGCCCAGAGTTGTACAAGCAAAGGAGGCTGAGTAGGAGTGGTTGGAGGGGACAAGAGAAGAGGGACAACCAGATAAAAGGATGCTGCAGATATCCAGGGGCAGCAAAGGATGGTTCAAGCCAAAGAGCTGGTGGGTGTTCTTTCTGGAGGGAGAGAACTTCGTTAATGATCCAAGTATGTGTAGTACTATAAGAAGGAGATTTTCTGTGTGTTGGGTGGCTCAGGAGGGGCAGGGATTCCCCAGCAGATAGAGACCTCTCTTTGTTTCCTGAGACTGCTTGACCTGATGATGGTCCAGAGATTCTTTTTTTTTTTTTGGTTTTTCGAGACAGGGTTTCTCTGTGTAGCTTTGCGCCTTTTCCTGGAACTCACTTGGTAGCCCAGGCTGGCCTCGAACTCACAGAGATCTGTCTGCCTGGCTCTGCCTCCCGAGTGCTGGGATTAAAGGCGTGTGCCACCACCGCCCGGCGGTCCAGAGATTCTTAGTCTTTGGAAGTCACATGGACCACGAGTGCCATCACCTCGGTGTGGTGCCCACATTCATTGTCCTACCAGGAAATGAACTTGACAAAATGGTCCTTGAGCCAGGTGGCGGTGGCACACACTTTTAATCCCAGCACTCGGGAGGCAGAGCCAGGCGGATCTCTGTGATTTCGAGGCCAACCTGGTCTACAGAATGAGATCCAGAACAGGCACCAAAACTACATGGAGAAACCCTGTCTCAAAAAAACCGGAAAAAAAAAAAAGTCATTGAAGGTGAATACCAGCCTCAGAACGAAAGGTGGAATGAAGAGTATACTTTTAAGTCGCAGGGGACAAACTGGTACCCAGGGTAGCACAGAATGCCCTTCGGGGATCTCCAAAGACTGCTTCACCATCTTTTTTTTTTTTTGAGACAAAGTTTTACTCTACATAGCCCTGCCTGTCCTGGAACTCACTGTGTATGCCAGGCAGGCTTCAAACTCAGAGACCCACCTGCTTCTCCTCAGTGTTGGGATTAAAAGCATGTGCCACCATACCTGGCTCTTCACCACCTTCTTGATGTCACTGTACTCTATGACTTTTTCTTGACAGCAGGTAGGATCCTAGATATTGTGGTTGGGCTCAGGAAGGTCATTCCAGTGAGCTTCCGATTTATTCAGCTCAGGGCTAACCTTCACTATGACCTTGACTGCAACACGAATCTTAAAAGATCTTATAATAAAAAATCCAGAGCCAGATGTTGGGGTGAAAGCTGAAAGATCAGAGAAGTAGAAGAGCCAGCCACTAGCTTACCTCTATGAAATCCTCAGCCTCAAGGGAGCGAGTTCCTGTTTCTTCATGCCTTGTATACCTTTCTGTGTCCTGCCATATTATTTCCCGGGATTAAAGATGTGTGTTACCACTGCCTGGTTTTGTTTCTCTCATGTAGCCCAGTGTGGCCTTGAACTCACAGAAATCCAGATGGATCTCTGCCTCCTTAGTGATAAGATTAAAGGTATGTGCCACCATTGCCTGACCTCTATGTCTAATTTAGTGGCTGGCTCTGTCCTCTGATCTCCAGGTAAGCTTTATTGGGGTGCACAATATATCACTACACTTGACAGTGTCAGCCAGTGCATGATCCCCATGGTCATCAGATAACAGTTTCCTAGACATGCTGCCCATAGTCTTCTGGGTGGTAGTGATGGCATAGACTGTGGTCATGAAGCCCTTCTCAGTGCCAAGTTGAATGACCTTTACAGGGCCGAGGTACTGGTGGTACTTGAGGCATTGCTGTCTGTCTTAAGGAAGCTCCAACTTCAAGATTCATGACTGTCACACACATGGGGAGTCAGGAACAGGAACAGAGATGGTGGTCTTTTGGCTCCACTGCCAGATTTCTTCAGTGTGGTAGACGCATCAGTGGGCTCCTCAGTTTCTTTAAATTCAGTGATAGAAGGAAAGGAGCTCCAGGCCCTATGTCATCACTTGCCTATACTCCCAGTAGGGGGCTGAGACTGGAGGATCACAAGTTCATGGGCTACAGAGGGAATTCAGGGCAACCTGAGTAACTTAGATAAGATCCTGCCTTAAAAAGCTCTGGCTGGCCGGGCGGTGGTGGCTCACGCCTTTAATCCCAGCACTCGTGAGGCAGAGCCAGGCGGATCTCTGTGAGTTCGAGGCCAGCCTGGGCTACCAAGTGAGTCCCAGGAAAGGTATAAAGGTATACAGAGAAACCCTGTCTCGAAAAACCAAAAAAAAAAAAAAAAAAAAAAAAAGCTCTGGCTGGGCCTGGACATGGTGACACATTCCTTAATTTCCAATACTCATGGGTAGAGGCAGAGTTCAAGGCCAGCCTTGTCTACATATCAAGTTCCAGGCTAGCCAGGGCTATAAAGTGAGACCCTATCCAAAAATAAACCAGGCAGAGTTGTAGCTCAAGGCTAGGTTACTTTGCCTAGCACACATGAAGCTCTGGATTCAATCCCTAGGACTGAAAAGAGAAAGAAAGAAGAGAGAGAGAGAGAAAGAGAGAGAGGGGAGAGGGGGAGGGAGAGAGAGAAAGGAAGAGAGAGAAAGAAAGAAAAAGAAAGACAGAAAGAAGTGAGCTACGAGGATGTTACTGAGTCTTAGATAAAGAAGCAAATGTGAAAGTTCTTGTACAATATTAGAAGGAGCAGCCTTAATATTACACTTCCCGGGGGCTCAGGGGAGAAAACTACGAAAAGTGAGAATTATTTTCGGGAAATGAATCTAAGTACACCAAGCTCTTTGTCTATCTACTTTATTTCTCTGGGATAAAATCCTATCTACACAGCTTCAGTTCTGTTCTCGTGGCTAGCTCCTTTCTTGCCTGATTTCTCTCTACCTTTATCTACGGTTCCCTCTAAGTTCTATCTTAATTCTCTCGTCTTAATTCTGCCTCATCTCGTTCTTACCCAGCTAGTACTTCCCCATCTGGCTCTTCCTCATCTTCCATCTCATCCACACGTTCTCTCTGGTCAAAATCCTCCTTTTCCCTCTCAGTTCTCTGTCCTGAAGCTCTTCATTCCTCTCTTCCTCTCCATCTCCTCATACCTCGGCGTTCCATCTTCTCTCTCTGAAAATAAAACTGCCTTTTTATCCCTTTGACCCTTATCTCTCCAAGCTATCTGCTTCCGCTGGTTTCTGACGAGTGAGCTCTGTCATTAGGCAACTTCTGTCACAGCTAGATGTACCTGTAAGTTGGAACTCTTTAGTTCTGAGTTAATTGTTAAAGGTGGATCTAAAGCTAGAGATAAGACTTTGGAAAAGGGGAAGTTAAGCTTAATTGGCACATCCACCAGGCCTTCTCAAACAGGTGGTCTGGATGCTTAAGTCTGTTCTTAGAGAGTGCAGAGGGATCTCTGATAAGGCACTTTTCTCCCTCTGGGGATGGACCTGAGGTTCTGGCTGTGCATAGCTGTCAGCACAGAAAGTCATCTAAATATTCCTAGAATGGTTAGGTGAGAAGTTAGAGGTCTATAAAGTTAGTAAGGCTGTAAGAAAAGGAAGGTCCGAGCTAAATTGTGCGAAGCTATTACTTAAGATTCACCTGACCTAGTTGGTGCCTCCGGGTGGAATTTACCTTAATTTCAGTAGACTTATTATGTGGTGGTTTGGACTGTTTTTCCTGTTAGTCCTTGAATGTGGCTAAGGGAGAGATCTGATTCCAGTGCTAAAAGGAGAGAAACGGGTGGGCCTGAGGGAAGGAAGTCTTTTCTGAGGTTGTTCTCCAAATACCTGGAATGTGTATGTCCAAAGAGTGATCAGTTCACACTGTTAGCAATTCTTAGGGAAAAATCAATTGGGAAAACTATGAAGACACACATGATTTTCATAACAGAAGACAGCTGATACGTAACAAGCCAAATAACACCAAAAGCTCCTTGGAATTCGGCTTCCTCTGAAGGAATTCCTTGATCCCTTCAGGTAGTGGCTTTGCCATAACCAGCAGAGTTCTTATAAAATATTCCTGCGGCCCATAGCAGAAGTAATTTTATCTGTTGTGTGTATGTGTAAGCCACAGTGCTCGTGTTTAGGACACTTTTGGGAGTCAGTTCTCTCTCCACCATCTGGGTTCCAGGTCAAACTCAGGTTGTCAAGTTTGGCGTGGAGCACCCTTACCCACTGAGCCGCCTTGCAGACCTCCTTTCGAAAATGGTACCTTGAATGATTCTGGATCTTAGATATCCTGGAAAAGAGGCAAAAAAAAAAAAAAAAAAAAAAGACAAACTGAAGAAATTGGTGGTTAGCAGAAGGTGGGAATAGAGAGAGGGGTGGTGACTGGGTGGATCGCAGGACATTTCAAGGCTGGGAAGTGACTCTGATAGTGTTATGGTGGGTGTATGACACTGTATGTGTAAACCCACAGACCAGCAACACTAAGGAAGAACCTGATGGTGAACTGTGGGTCTCAGTTAATAACATTGTGTCTATATTGCTTCAACAATTGTAACAGTAATGCAAACTGGTGGGTTTTG